TATAAGGAGTTCTGTGGGCTTCGTTTGGTACATAGTCTTCATTATTATTAGGGCTAGGATTTACTATCTGTATCCATGTATATGCTAATTTCTGTTATTTCAGTATTTGAAGTGGTTGTATTACTATTACAGTCATTCTAAGACTTCTCCCTCTGTAAATCATTCCTGTTTTTTACACTGTTTTTTTAAAAATACATCTCTGCTTCTCAAAATTTACCTTTTGGATTCATTGTACAGTCTATACCTCTTTGTCCTATTATAGTAACCAACAAATATAAATTTCTTCACAGTCATATTTTTATCTTCTTCCTTTAGGTATATGCACCATAGTTTTATAATCAAATATTCTCATATTATTTGCATCTGCTTTCACATAAGTCATTTTTGTTGAGGGATTTTGCAACCCAGTGATTTTTTCAATGCCTGTTAATTATGTACGAAAAAAACAGACACAGTCTCTGCTCACAAGTGTCTAAGTAAGCTGGAATTAATATGTATACATTTAGTACATATTTCCAATGTATTTTTTACCAGATGATCCTATCTAGGTATACAGATATGTATGCGTAATTTGGTGCAATATATTAGAGCTTTTTACATTCAATTCTTCATATTAAAAAAAAATATTAAACGATTCATTGACATATTGTTTACTATTGTCAGTTCTTGTTATACTTGTCTATTGTTATTTATACTTTTGCATTTAATTGATTTTCAATAAAATTTTAAAAGTTTTTCAATTATTTTAAGCATTAACTTTTAATTGTAAAAAATGTGAAAATATCTTATGAAAAAGGCCATTAATAAAAGTAACAAAATATTTGGAATCACTAAGAAATTTATTCTTTATGAGTCCACATTCATGGGAGTGGATTTGTTTCAAGAATTTAAAGGTTTTCCTTCTATTATGTATGACAGGCTCCCTGGTTTGTTTTTCTTGTACATGTATATATTGCTGTGATTGCAGTCAAAATCACTCTACCTTTTTCGAATTTCAGCTGTTTGTTTTGAATCATTTGACTTATAGACGATAAGTTGGTTACCAACTCAGGTACATATAATACATTGACCTGTGTTATTTCTGTCGTGCCCTTACAAGGGAAGGACTCCAATTTTGATAGTTTCTGTGAGATGATAACACACATGTTCCTAATAACATGTGTGAAATGTTAGGTGTAGTTATACGCCTAATATTTTACACATATCGTTAGGAACATGTCATCATCTTAGAAAAACCTATCAAAATCGAAGTCAGACAATTGGGGTCCTTCTCTTGTTAATATCTCTTATTTCTATATTTACATTACTAGATCCTTTTACATAGTTATTTATTATCTGAAACTTTAATAGTTGATACTAATGATGTTCTGGTATCATACATCCATATTAAATAGTCTATCATATGAATCGTGGTACCAGAGTCAATATATCAACAGTTCTTATATGTACGTGACGAGAGAAGCAGAGAATGTAATTAGAAAATCAGAATTATTTTCTTTTGGTATTCTTGTGATCATTGCCTTTTTTGAGCAATTTTTTGTACTTATGTGCCCGTATTTATCGCTACTTAAAACAATGAGAGTTTTTGCTTTATGGTTTCTGATATGTATCTTCATGCAATCTACAATAATTTTTATGATAATTTGTACAGAAGCAGATGAATTAAAAATGTTGACATCTTGTGGTATTTTGGTTTTAACTAAATCTGCGCATCTAAACTTTCAATCGTCATAATGCATTTCAACCATTTTATATATCTCTTATAACAAGAAAAAATGTCAGAGCAAAATATAATTAAGTTTAAAGGTAAAAATACAGCAAATAGCAAAAAATTGTTCTCAAGGTAACATTTTTCAATATTTCTTGGTAATTAATATTTTTTAAATGAAACTATAAAATTTTAATACTATTCAGTAATATCCATGATCAATTTTATTTAGCAGTGAGTATTAAAAATGAATACAAATAAAAAATGTATGATTTTAAAGTCTTAAAAAATGTGACCTTGAGAAAAACTTTTTATTATTTAGTATATTTTTCTTCAAACCCGATCATGTTTTACTTCAACATATATTCCTGTTATCAAAAATCAAAGTACAACATTTAAGGTGTTCATATTAAGTGAGACATCTTGTATGTGTTGCAAAATCCAGCAAGTATTTAATAATACTTTAAACCATTCATCATCTACTACAAGGTTTACAGTAAGCCACAGTATCATACAAAAATATACACTATATACAAAAATACATTTCACATAATAAAACATTTTAGAGATGATGTATAGAAAGAATTAAGATGAAAACATGGTTTTTGTGGCTAAATTATTCGAAATAGATCTCTCATCAATATTTAGACAAAGTTTCTAATTTTTTAACATATATGATGTTTACTGATGAAATTAAATTTCATATTTTTTATTTGAATTGATAAGTTACAATAAAGCAATGACCAAATAAAGAATTCATTGTGCAAAATTTAACACATAAACACAATAAAACATGAAGTGGATCGGTCATGATCTGGAAATGTATGTTAGCTACCAGTGTAGACAATTTAAAATTTTTATATTATATAAAATTAATTTTAAATATTATTAAAGATAATTGACACACTTCCATAATCATTGGATTTAAAAATTATTAAATATGTTCAAAACAAATTAGATATTAGAAGACACATATATATGATAATAAATGAAAACAAAAATCAAAATGATTATCGAAAGGCTAGTTAAATCAATGCCAAGAAGATTACAGGCATTAGAACCTGTGTCCTGCAACGTATTAATTTTTAATTTAAACAAATAATAAAATAAGTTTGTTTAATTGTATGATTTTAATTATGACATTTTTCAGACTGGATTATAGTGATCTTTTATATTCATTTTATATTTAGAAAAATTCATGTTTTTTATATTTCTACATAGTAAATATAGATGTATTTATAATGTTTATATCTGGTTTAGTTTAATTTTCTTTTTTATGATATCATCACTGAACTGTTTTAGAATATGAAACATATTTTTATATGTAATGTATAATTTTGGTTGTGACTTATTATTTTTAAGTTTATGTGCAGTTATTATAACTTTATTTACATGTTTTTCAAGACTACTACAACTGTCTAGACTCACTATAATAAAATCTGATAGCAACTCTACCTTTCTCATCAGTCCACAGTTATCAAAAGTTTTTTCTAAATTGATTCATACATCTTTGGCAGTGGCTGCCTCTTGAAGATATACATCATTCAACAGATCTACCAGCAGTATTTATTTTTGAATTCATTTTAATGTACTGTCTCATATCAACTTGTGTTCTTTTAATTATATAGTTAGATATATTTCCACAATTCTTCATGTTGCAGATAAATTTTTATTAGAAATTTCTATGTATTGTACTTTTCACGGAGAGTCAATTTTTCAATTGTAGTCATACCATTTATTGATACCATAATTCAAGACAGATAGAAATCACCTCAGGGAATATGCCTGATAGATAGGTTATATCTTTAATTTGTTATATCCAAGATAATTTTATTACCCAGTTTATATATTGTCCTAAATTTAATGGGCGTCTGGGCCCAGAACCCAACAATTTTATTTTAAGTAACGGGCAAGATTAAAAAAAAATGAACAATAGAAAACATGCAAAAAATCATTTTATTTAAAACACATTGGTAAAAAGAATGAACAAAAGAGCGACTAAAATATATAAAAAAAGAAAAAGACAAAATTTTAACTGTTGCTACTTACAGTTTTCATTTATCACTATCAAGAGGTTCTTATTTTTTAAATAATTATAAATTATACCAAATCTATTGTATTATACGACAGTGTTTTAGAATTGTGCATTATAAAATTTCTTTTAAAGAGCAACAAAGTTACATAATTTTATGTATTATGCTATTATATATCAATATCACACTAAATTAATGTATAATATTGTAATTGTAATAAGTTTTGAGGTGACTACTTTAAAAGTAATCATTTGAAATTGTATACAATGTCATCACTTCTTGTTTTATGTATATAGTGTCATACATATGATGAAGAATTTTATGCAAATTTATACATTTATATACTAATTTATTATAAGGAAGAATGAACAAAAAATTATTTCCCATATTTAAGATTGCATTGGGTTAGAAATAATAATAAAAATTTCATTATGGTTTACTTAAGTTCTTTTAAAATGTTCTATAGTTTGAAATATGCAATAAATTTTTATATCCTTATTTTAATTAGAATATTTGAGTCTTGTGAATTTCCAGTATATGGAAAGAAGTTAGGATACTTTGTATTTTATAAACACATTTATATAAAATAATTTATAAAGTAAGACTAAATAAAGAAAAAAAGGACCCTAAACGTCTAGAAAGAAGCAATATGAGAATAACGAAAAAGCAATACATGGAATGATATTAAAAAAAACAATTCTAAAAACAAAGGGAGTAACAACTCATTAATTTTCATATCAGAAGCTGATTTGTTCTTCAAAATATTAGTAATTATTCATGAACAAATAAAGACATAAATCAGATGAAATTGCATAAGGGTTCTTTATGCGAAAAAGTTACTTATGTTAAATATTAGTACTAAATAAAGATATTTATGTTAAAGCCACTGTCAAAAGCAAAATTATATATTCAGATGCTTTACAATTTTATGTACCAATTCTACTTACACAGTGATATAGAAATAGATTTTTAAAAGAAGTAGAGATTGAGAGAAAAAGTTGGGATTGAAATCCTGATGATAGCATATAAATATATTTTACCATCCTGTACTTCTTTTACATTTAAAAAATTTCTTTTATATTGGAGTATATACTGGTAAATAAGATAACAGAAAATTTTTAATTTTCTTTTCTCATAAAATTTTAAACAATATACTTATAAATTTAAGCTAAATTGGTAATCTGTGTATTATCAAATCTTCCTTCCAACATATAATTTGAAAAAAATTCAAAATATAATTAGGAAGTGAAATTTTAAAGAAGACTAAATTCAAGTTCAACTATTTTTTATGTTTCCTTTGGTATTAAAGAAAAGAAAAAATCACATAACGAAGTGAAACTCTGTATAAAAAAAGTTGATCAAATCGAAAGATACAAGATTTTCAAATTGGCTATAATTTAATGTATTTAGCGCAAATGAAGAAGTATACTGAAAATGACATAAATGATTTAATATAATTTCATTTTAAATTTAATTATCATTTTGATAGAATTCAGGTAAAACAACAAAACAAAAATGTAATCTTTGAGAAAAAACGAAATATGATTTTGGTATTTGTTTTATAGATATTAACCAAATGTGAGTATTCTCTGTTACTATTACCCTCAAACTATTTATTTACATATCTAGGGATCTAAGATCTACATATAATAAAACCTATAAAATAACACTTTCTTTGGAACAATCTGAACTGCAACAAGCAGTTAAAATTCATATACTTCTGCTAGAAGCATAATTTAATTTTTGATTAAGTCAGATATTTAAAATGGCCTAATGAATCATTTTTGTGTGGTCCTTTTTCACTGATAGTATTTTAATACCATGTATTGCCTGTCAGATAGTAATTTTCTTCAAGCAAATAAAATAATCACATTTACTTCCAAATACAAATGAATAAAATGATTCTAATGAGACAAGTTTAAGAGCTATTGGTATACAATCATTAGTATTTTATGCAGAATTTCAACTGATATAACAGTATTTTACAATTTTTAACAACATATATTATTACATAATATTGCAGAAGATGATGGTTTCACATAAATTTAACTCTGAATAGGTAAACGATAGATCCAGAAAAACAAAGAATAATAAATTAACATAAGTAATATTACAATCACAGTTGATTGTTTTGAGAATTGGAAATTTTCATGTAAAATCTAAATCTGAATGTAAATAGAGCATAGAATAGAATTTGTTTTCAAATTCTAATAGGCTACAAATAAAATATGCATGTTAGGAACCCACAGCAATCTTAAAGGTAGCAAATGTGATATATATACATATGATCTAATCCTTCCTGACCCACTAATTATGATTGTGAGCTTTTTTTCTATAATAATAGGAATAAATTTTTCTACCAAACATTTACAAACAGAAAACATTACTGTATCGTCTTTAAATCAAGTAATGTGTAATTGCTTGAATATGAAAACAATTATTAATAGTGTGTTTTATAATCGTTCTGTCGCCTCTTAGAGGTCACATTATTTACTTAGTAACTATTATATCTTATATGAAAAATAAATTTCAGATTCATTTTGAAATATTTCTCCTAATATACAGTTGTAGGAATGATTTAATGACTTAATAGTGGGATACAAACTGTAGCAAATATACTGTAATGCTTTTATACAAATTTTACATAGTGTGATCAAATCGTGACATAATTGGTTAGTGCTAATTATAATTCTATTACAAGTAGAGAATTTGATACAGATGTATAAATAAATTTGATCTGAAAACTAATTGAAACAAAATAATTAGTGGCTCAAAAGGTTCTTCTATAAAACATACACTGTAATTTCCGAATATTAGAATATTTAACATTAGAGTTGAAGGATATTATATATACTTCCTCTCTAAAGATAGAGTTTGAAGCTTTTCATTTTTAAATTTTCTATAAAAAAGACTTTTCATTTTAATTATCTCTGTATCACATTTCAACAGCACATAGAAAAAAAACTTACTCTTTAAAAATACTGTGATGCACCATATACATTTGTATATCTTACAAAACTTAAAAGCTAACTGCTAATTTGATAAATAAATTGTAAAATAATTCTTGATAAATAAGTCAAGAAATGAAATTTTTGAGTAAAGATACATTGTTTCACATTTTTGCTTGATAATCAACATTATACAAAAGATCTGAAAACTAGTTTAATGTCTTTGGTACTGCATTAGTACGCATTTAAATTTAATAAAATTGTAAAGCGTATTATCATTCTATAAAATGCTATAAATATTCATTATGTAGACACAGTTATAAAGTAAAAAAATGGATCATTCACTTACAGATGAACTACGTCTAGGTGCTGTTAAGTCACTAATAGTGGAATTGTGACGCGTTTTTCTCGAACCCTCGTTATCATTTACAAGATTTGGATTAACTGAATGTGAAAGAGCAACTGTCTTATTGAAATCTATTGTAGCATACCCTTTTTGTGGTTTATTTGGTGACTCTGGAGGAGATGCAGATGAATTTGAAGGTCCTTCGAATGGTGAATTGATCGATACATCCTTTGTATCCAGATCTAATACAGCATAATTTACTTCTCTAATTGGACCACCTGTAGGTGTTGATGGAGTCAAAGGTGATTTCTCTGCTGCAGACACACCAGAAAATCTTTTTCTTAAACTTTCAATTTCACTTGCTTCTAAATTAGCGTAACAATGTCTTGGTACTTCTTCCACATCAGATTGAATAGATGGTAAAGGCGAAGGTCGTACTCTAGCAACAAACAATTCTGTACATTCTTCGCCTGGACTAATATTCATATAAGCATGCCCAGATTCATTATTTTCATTTTTATCTTCCTTAAATTGTATTGTTTCAGGAACACTATGAGTTGGAGACAGTGAACTAATATCATTACTGATATCTACATTCATATAAGCCGCTGCTGGTGAAAGCGGTGATTTAGTTTGAGAAGTGACCTTTAAGGTTTTACGAGCAGATGTACATTCCAATGCTACCGAGGTGTTATCGGACACTGAATTACCTACTGTACAGGATCTGTAATAAAATAGAAATTTATCTAATTCCATATAATATTAATGACAGAAAGAATACGAATTTTCTTTACCTCTGTATTGCTCTTCTAGGGCTTTTGTTATTATTATGTTCCATTTCTAATGGTAACGGTGACAAGACGTCTTCATTGACATAAAGCGAGGACGGATGCGGTTGAGGGAACGGTGGTGGAGGTGGTGGCAGCACAGGAGATGGAGAAGGAGAACCTATGGTTCCTTGTGGTGATATAAGACCAGTGCTACTTCCCACGCTACCTAATCTTCCGATTCCATTTTGTTGACAGTGAGCGATTCTCTGACCTATACGATTATTAGTTCTATTTAATATTGGATCCAAATAATTAGGCTCAACTGGTATTGTCACTCTTGCTACTGTTGGACCAGGATGAGAAGCGATTGGAAGTTCTCTGGACATTGTATCATCCCCACTGTTATTACAAACCTAAATAATAATATATATTAAGCATTAACTTACTTTAAAATGTTATTATTTAAAAAATAATTATTTATAAACATTAATGTAGTTAAATGAAGATTATTATATATTTATACATTATTATAAATATTACCAATCATAAATATATGTTTCAAAGAAAATAAAATAAATAAAATTACTTCAAATTCTGTATGTCTAAAAGTACAAACCTGAATATTTGTTTGTACCAAATTAAATAAATGTGCAGCTCTATGACATTTAAAGGCATAAATGCCTGGTCCTGTGGGACATCGTCTACCAGATTCGAAACTAAATATTTCAGCATCATAACCGTACCGACGTAAACAACGCAAAGGCCATTTAATAGGCTGTTTACCGCGTTGATAAAGCACTATATCAGCTTCAGTAACTTCTAAGCGTCCAGGGGTAATTAAATTACCTAATTCATCTACATTCATCACTTGAAAAATATTTGGGTGTAAATCATTAATATCTGTCCGGCTATTGACACAACCCATTCTTTTTTACTCTAAAATGAAGAAAATAAATAATCAACGTTAATGGAAATATGTTCATTAGATTAATTCATATTATTATTTAAATTTATCATAATTTATTAGCAATAATGTATATTATTATTAAAAGTAATGTTAATACTAATTTTCAATAATAATCAGTAAATTTTATAAGATTGGTATCATTTCTTTTTAAGTATAAACAATACAGAAAGAAAACAAAAGATCTAATGGAATTCTTTATATATTTTTGCTTAAATAAATATTTTTTTTAAATATATAACATTGATCATACTTGTCATTAATTGTTTGAATTTATTTGATAATGATTTTAATTCATTCATACATATATAAGGCTTATTAAGTATTAATAGATATATACGATAGTAAACACATATTAGAAACAAACAATTCTGAAGAATTCATTAAAGGAAACTTGATGGTAGTTTTGGTAAATATGATCAAACGAAACAACTACAGTAAAGAAAGAAAATTTGTAAAACTACTATATTAATAATTGTGTACACACCAAATGCGACATATCCAAAAGACATTCAACCTTGTGTTTTAAACAAAATGATGTATCCTTTTATGAACAACACACCGCACATTACATACTTAGGTACACTACCGAAGAAAATATTTCTCCACCCCACTCTCTTCTCAAGAAAAACACTATGAGAGATAGTGCATTCCCATCTGTGCCATGGTATTCTGTGGTTTTGAGGCTGAGGACCTCTGCTGGACGAAGAATATTCTTGTTTATGACTTTACTGAATTTACGACCTTACTGTATTGTTATTACAGAATAATGTATATCGCCAATTAAAATATATACATATAGTAAAATGTATTTTAAAATTTAAATGAAAAATATCTACGCAAATGTTGTTTAATTTAAAACGTTTTAGAATAAATAAATTGGAGTCGAAAAGTTTACTCAATTAAGAATCTTAAGTACCAAATTAAACACTGTTGAGTGTTATTAAACTTTTTAGTCAGAAATATTTTATTCTTTCAGTTTTTTGTTTATATTTTTTATTACTAAAATTGTAAGTTATGTAAAAGTAATTGTAAAAATGTCATATTCCTTTTGTAACCAAGTAATATTCATCTGAGAATGTGTGGAATTAAAATTATTTTAAAGTATAAAATTAAAAAATTGTTCATAATAGAATTGAACTTTCTTGTTACCTAATATGTGAACAATATATTAATAATATTATTATTCTATCAACAAATACAGAATAATAAATAGTATTTATTCTGGAAAAGATTAAAGATACTATTAATAACAACTTATGTAAATTTTATTAATCAACTGAACTGTACAGAATGTTCATTATTTGTTAAATATTATGTTGTTGATTAAAGAAAATATATGAAATATATTATTATTTTGAAAACACGAATAAAATAATGTATTCGGATTGAATTTAAATTAATTTGTAAAAAAATGTTGTTCCCTCACAATCATCGTTCTAAATATTAATTAAACAGAAATACTTTACGAATTCACGCGAAATTTATATTTAAATTAATCAAATATCATAAGCACTATCAATTCGTAAAAATTGTACATATATAAGACGCATTAAATGCTACTGATGTAATGTTACATTTATACTAACGTAAATTTTCTAAAAATTATTTACATTCTCTAAAAAAATACTTATGCGATCAACATATACTTATATAATGGTATGAATATTCATCATCTAAATTAAATGATCTGCGAGTTGCTCTTACATGATGCAAGCGTACACATTTGTAATTGTACAAATTACTTATCGATATATACGCTACGTATGCATTGCATGTACATATAGATACGTGCAATTACATATAGTGATATGAAAGCATAATACATAAACTATCCATATCGCATACTATTTTACGCATTGTATTTGTACATTTGTTGTTTATTGATGAATGCAGCAATTCGCTGTTTACAGAAACAGGAATCAGTTGCCTAAGATAGTGCGAGGTGAACGGTACGTTGTGAAGGAAGAGTTCTATATCAGTTTTTAGATAACGTTCCAACTACGAAGGAAAACGATTCTGTTCATTAGTCACTCTCGTGGTTATATCGAATTATACACAGACTTTTTATTATTTTAATCAAAAACAACATTGCTGAAAACACCATTTATAAATAAGAAGTGACATTTTACACTGACAAATGGATGCTACATAATAATTATAAATTTTTATTCATGACAAGCATGTTTAGTGGTTGAGACTAATTTTTATAAAAATTATAATTCGAAATCTTTGCCGTGTATTGTCTAACGTTTGTGTAGTTCGTGATATTGTAATTTTGTAATCACATATATTAAAAGGTAGTTATTGACAAATTAGACGTTGACAGGATGTCTAATAGCAGAAGCGAAGTTGATCCTTTCAGCGAGACACCTTTAGAACTTCAGCAGTTTGAAGGTAAAATTATAAGACAATAAAAAATTTTTATAGTATCCGTCAAAGCGTTATTTACGTATGAACTCAGACATCTTTTATACAATTCCTTTTTTAAATAAGAAGTATACCATATGTTTAAAATATTCATAATATATATGTACATATACATATGTATATACATTTCAGTCAATAGGCATGTAAATTGCGATTAACTCGTAAAAATTACGCAAAGTTGCTATAAGTATAATGTTCGTGATCTATAATTGGTGTGTCATAATATTTAATTAAATGCGCGCGAATTTCAAAATGATTTCCAAACATTGTAGAGAATATTTAAAATTATGATTACTTCTTGTAATTTTAAAATTAAAATACTTTTTAAAATGTCTAGTAGTTTAAGATAAGAGTTGTCTAATCTAATAGTTTAAGATAAGAGTTGTGAGCTTGTAATATGATATTACATAATGTTCAATAGTTGAATAATTGGTTTTAAAATACATATTTTCTAATGTTATAATACATTTAATTTCACATGAAATTTATGTAATGTTAATATTAATTCTTAATGTTTCAAGAAACTACGGAAGTTATCACAGAACAAACCTCAATGGTAGAAACAGATGATATAGCAAATAATTTAACATATGCAGAACCCTTAACGCCAATGCAAGTACGCTGGTTTTATAGAGACGGTGTTGACAAAAGATGGATAGAATTTTGTGGATATGACAGTTTGAGAATTGAAAATGCTTGGCAAACTTATCAAAATTTACTTAGTAAAAATAATGACCCTTTGAATAATTTGCCTCCTATAGAAAAAATTGTAGTAAAAGGAGGAATGTACGATGTTGAAATTGATAAAATGAAATGTATTTCTATATATTGTCCAGGTAAATATTTTGTATTTCTATACAATTGTATATGTTTATCAATGATCAGCTTAATCAAATATTTATTGATTAATATTATCACCTACATAACACATGAACTAAAATATTATACAATCCAGTGTAATTTATTTTTAAGTATTAATTTAATATCATCAATTATATTTTTTTAGTGAATTGTTTAACAGAAAGATTATATTGTTTTTATTCATACTTTGCATGTTTTAAATACGAAGTTGTAAAAAATGTTGTTTAAAATGTTGTTTAAAGTATTACCTTCTCAGTATGTTAGAATTATTATGTATAATTTTTAATTTTAATTTTCTAAAGGAGAAGAATGGGAAATAATGAGAGGCACTTGGTATTATGATGGTAGTTGGATACCCTTAGAATTGGAACAATCTAAAGTCATAGAAGAAGTTCATCTTAATCTTTTTCAAAAACAACTTCCAAGTCAATCTACTTCAGTGTCTGACGTGCCTCATCCTTACAAAAGTATAGATTCTTAAAAGATGTTATATATTATTGTTTACTCTAAATATGTAATAATTATATCGAACACTGGTGAATAAAATTTTTCCAATTTCAGTATTGCATACAGAACACTTTCCTGAATTTCATGTTGATTGGCATAGCATAAATGATGTGGTATTACACAGTGAATATAGACACAGTAAACTAATGCGCAGTGTTACATCAAAATTGGGATTTGCAAAAAGTATGTATTTTATTTCTTTCTTGGCATTAAAAAAATAAAATGAAATAATTGAAATTAAATTACATATTTATACTGAATATTTCAGCTACAGGCTATCAGTTAAGAAGAGGCTATAAATTTGCTGCAGTAATGGAAGATAAGCCTCATGATATTGATCATATAGTATTTGTAGTTCATGGAATTGGTCAAAAAAGAGATACAGGAAAAATTATTCGTAATACAACATCGTATGTAAAATGTTTATAATTATAATTCTTATTTACAAATTTTTATGTGCTTAATATAATATACTAAACATTTAAACAGATTTAGAGATTGTGTGGATTGGTTAAAACAAAAATATTTTCCCAATTCCAATTATAGAGTTGAATTTTTCCCTGTTGAATGGCGATCTTCATTAAAACTTGATGGAGGTAAAAAAATTATTGTCTATTTTTTACTATATTTATTATATTTTAGTTTGATTTTCTATTGTATAAATTTTCAGATATTGTAGAAGCCATTACACCTTACAGTGTACTAAGTATACGACATTTATTAAATACATCAGCGATGGATATACTTTATTATACAAGTCCTCTTTACGGTGGAGAAGTAAGAGCAGGATTACAAAAAGAATTAAATAGACTATATTTTATGTTTGCAAGTCGACATCCAGGTTGGAAAGGAAAAGTTTCAATCTTAGCACATTCTTTAGGATGTGTAATTGTTTATGATATTGTCACAGGTTGGATGGGTCCAGACACAAGACCCCCATCCCCAGAAACGCAAGAAGTTCTATTGCAACGATTACAATTTCCAGTAAATATAACTGCATTCATATGTTTTGATACAACATTTTTACAAAGAATTATAATGTAGGATTTTAAACATTGTAGTTTATAATTATTTTCATAATTGCAGATTGAAAATTTATTTTGTTTGGGTTCTCCATTATCTGTATTCCTTGCATTACGTACCCGTTCTCCTTCAAATAAAACTGATGTGATGCCTCAAGGTTTATGCAAAAGATTTTACAATATATTTCACTGGTCTGATCCTGTAGCTTACAGAATGGAACCACTTTTGGAGAGAGGTTATAGCAAAATAGAACCAGTTCTTATACCACCTTACGGAGGAGTTGATGGTCAACAGATGGAACAATCTCCTCCATCAATAAGTGGTGCTGATCAAACTTTTTCCCCTGCAGGTATATGAAATATACTTCAAAATATGAAATATACTTATAATATTTATTAAAATCTCAAGTAAATTATTTTAAAATCTGTTATAGAAACTGACGAAAGAGAGGAAAGTCCGGATATGTCTAATCGTACTTCAGATAAAGGTTGGAGTCTATGGGGTTTAGTGCGTGCTGGTTGGAATGCTAAAGAAGATGCATCTACTCCGCTTCAACCAGGTCAAGGTACATGGATAATTAATACTATTTAATAACATTAAATATTTTCAAATGATATTAATGACTACATAAAGAGTAAATTAATGAAATATATTTTTATACTTATTAGAATTATCACAACGGTTAGATTATGTACTTCGAGCAAGTTTGGGACGAAATTATCTATACACGGTAGCAGCACATACAACATATTGGAGTAACTATGATGTAGCCTATTTTGTGTTAACAAGACTTTTTCCAACATTAGAAACGTGATGTTTATCTGCACATCTAGTATGGTATTCAAATAGATTTTACTAAAATTTACTAGTCCATTGTAGGCCTCAGGGTCTAACTTTGACAGTAGGCCTACTAAAACAATCTGTGATAATGAAAAATCGATACAATAATATTATAAATTTAATCTAAATTAAGCATGCTATATTGCTCATATAATTTAAAATTAATATAATCGAAATTTACGATAAAAACGTATATGTTCTTTCATACACTTAATAAGATATCCACATTCGTTACATTAAAATAATTACTTAATTCATGACTTAATTTAGTACTTTACATTTTTTGTTAAATGTGGTACACATGTTTTATGCAAAATGTTTATTTTAATGTACAAAAAATTAATATATTAACATGTTATGTATTTATAACATAAGAGCTGTTCTGTACAATATGTTTTATATTATTGGAAACTTGTTATTTCTTGTCTCTGTTATGTGTTAAAATGTAAGAATTAACTTTTCGCTACAATTGTTCTATAAAAAATGCTACAAATATTCTAGTAATGATCACTTAGTAATTAAAAATTCACATTACAACACAAATTTATTATATTATTATTATATATTCAACAGTACAGATACTATCAAAATATTTTACTTGCATAAACAGTATAGAAATGTAATTCCCCACCAGTCTTTGTAAGACCGGGGGAATATTTCAGGATGACTTTAAACATTTTGTTACATATATACTGATATCTTTTAAATTCTAAAAGAAATCAGATATATTTATATAAGTATTAATACCCACACTACATATGATTATAAAGTATAAGAGTGGGACAACTACTTTCAGTTAAAAATTTAAAATAGTAATTTTATTATTTTGATCTTGAACTAATAACGAAAAATTAAGATCATGTCAATGTCTTTTTTAAGTATCTAATGTGAAATGAAACTTAACATAATCAGAAAAATCGCATTAATATACACCTAGCTCTCGATTTACACGAAATATCAGTTTCTCAAAATATCGTGTAAATTGAAAACAAACCAAAATGTGGATAATTTAATCAGTTACATATTTAATTAAATTCATTTATTTCAACATAAAATAAAAATAAAATACCATGAAAAACAAAAATATCAGTTAATTTATGAAATGACAAATATATAAAGTTGTAAGTACCATTCGCCTCTCACGTTAGTGCCATTGGCCTGTGGTTTAAAAGTACACAGGAGCAAGGGGACTTCCACTTACGACGCTTGGGCCTTGACGCGCGTTAATAATGGCCGTGCGTCGACGACTGAGCATTGTGAGTGGAAGCGTCCCCTTGCCTCTGTGTACGGTTAAGCCTCAGGCCGACAGCACTTACGTAAAAAGCGAATAGTACATAATTCTTTTTATAAAAACGAGAAATATAAAATCTATAAAAATGAAATCAAAAGTTGAATCAAGAAACCAAGCCCACACAATTTTAAATAAATTATAAAAATGCTACAAAGTCTATAATTGTTTATTACTAACCAGTAAATATGACGTTTTAAAAAATTTTGATTAGAAAAAGCACAACGATGCACACCTTTCTGCTACTAAAGATTTACTGAACTTTACTACTCTAATTTACATGAATGGTTCTTGTGTGTATACAAAAAGGGAAATTCTTTTTTTTCGATTTAATGGCAGTGTTACCAATCGAATGAAATTAGAAATTTACTATAGAAACATATGTGCAGTAAAACGTTTATTTCTAACATTTTTTTTTAATTTATTATTTTGAAAACCGTGTACTTAAATCGGGAGATAGGTGTATTCGAAATATTTTTTTAAAGATAATTTCACTTTTGATACGTTGAGTTCAAACAATTTTCTGACATTAGAAGAATTTGAAATGGTGTCTGAACTCTTAGTGTTTGAAACACAAGGAGCGCACAGTATGGGAGTCTTACAAATATTATTTTGTAAAACAAAGTAATGTTGATCTTAGTTTCGTTAAATCTTTTCAACTGCTTCTATTAAGATAAATAAACATTGAATGACAACTGTTTTAACATTTACATTTGAATACTTTTAAGTTACACTTGTAATAATGTGTGCTATTGATCTGAAGGAGTGCAATGATAGATTGAATGAACTTGTTGTGTGCTGTTATGCTGATAAAAAGAGAATATAGCAGTATAATTATCTACTTCGACCAAGCTTTTTATAGTGAATTTAAAACAAAAATAAGTGAAAATATATAAGCATTTTTGTGCATACGTATTGTTTAGAAAATATGTACTGTTAAAATTTTGATATATCAATGACTCATCTTTAAAGTTAATGTACATTTCTGCAATAATCTTTTTCATTTAAATAGCATTTTCTAGAATAATAATACAGCATAATTATTATATAATAATGTTACAGGGTTTGGTTTCTTATAAAATATAATGTAAAAACTATCTTTCTACAAATTTATAAACAGTAAATTTAGTAGATGTGTTTTATTGAGAAAATATAAATAGGTTTTGTAGGTGAAATTATCCATCTATGAATAAAAAATAAATTAAGAATTTATATAAATTGTTATAGCCAATGGTAATGAAAAAAATGCTATTTAAAGGACAAAAATATTATTATTATTATGTAAAATAATAAATTTTTAAAATAAACATATGTTAATTTACTTGTTTTTAAATTCATCACAAAAAATTTAGTTGAAATTGATGATCTAATTGCTGTGTGCTCTCGTTACAAGTTTATTTTTACACACCAATTTCACTCTAACACTAAAATTAATAATTAATAATTCTTGTATTAATTTAGGTGCTACACGTTACAAAGTAGTATACAATTTTCAATTATAATAAAAACTTTTGGCATCTTTTACATAACAAGTGTATTTGAAATTCTTGCAATCCATACCTTTATATGCTATAATCAAGTACTGTTAGATTGAATGACTTAATGAATGAACCATGTATAAAGTTTCCATTCCTGGAAATTGTGTAGGTATAAAATTGTAATGTTCACGTTTGGCGAAATATTTTGAATCGCAACGTATTAATCGATTACTAAAAGGGTCGGTTATGAACATTTGTTTAATACATGTGTAACTAAAATAAGTATAATTGAAAGTTATCCAAATAATATTATGTTTAATCTTATTTATATTATAAATATTTTACTAATTCGTTAGCAAAAACTTTATAAAAGTATAATAAAAAATAAAGAAATTTTTATATTGCAATAGTAGTTAAATATGTTATCGACACCGTCTTGTGATTTTTTTAATTTGATGGGTTCATTATTAATATTGTTTGATTTATTTTTTATGATTCTTATTTCCTATACTCATTGAATAGTTTGTACAGAGCAGAATTTGTTTCACCAATAGAAATAGATTGATATTTGATCACCAGTTCAACAACTTTCAATTGTTATGAAATTTTAAAAATTTTGGTCAATTAATTTCTATTTTCATAATTATAATCATTCAATTGATATTTTTTTCTTTTTAACAAGCCCTCACAAATTTATGATATATTATTTCTTCTTATAATTACACTTCATTGAATTTATTATAATCATATCACTGTTTCTATTACATTATGGGGTTTTCACGTCCTTTCATTTATTTATCGCCTTATTACTCTATCTTTGTCAAATAGGTATCAGTGATTTGTCAGTAAATGAAAAGTGTTCAATTCCATTTATTAGACTTAACAGTTTATGAATTATAAATTTTTTGTGTAGCATTTGTTTTGTTGTAGAACTCTTATTAATTTTTTGAGTGTAGAACCAAATCTGACATTTTGTTAATTAATTACACATTTTGACAATGTATAACACCAAATATCTTATAAGATACATTTTTTCTAACTATTAGTTTACTGATACCTTCAAACATGAATTTAAATTTTATTATAAATAACATAATTTGACATCTATATATTAGAGTACATTTATGTATTTGTATTAACATTTAACATAAAATTAGTACACATAAATACATACAATACACAATATAATTTCTTTCAGATAATAATATAAATACTTAAATCCTATAATTCTTTATATTAGTAATACAAAAAAAGATGGAATCTAATTTCTTGTACCTAAAAATTATATTTGGATATAAATTGCAAAGAAAAAGATAATATATTTTATAATGTACCTATTGTAAGTTTTAAAACAGATTTAAGCTAAAATTAAATTAAATTAAACAACAATTAAAAGTGCTTTGTTATTTGTTATAGTACTATAAATAGTAATATGCTTCAACACATTTCTTAAATGTATACTTACTACATTCAAATATTAAAATACATTTTTGTTTAAAGACACTCTATGTAATAAGTTACATATCTATTTTCATATATCAAAATTTTGAATGATATATAAATCATTTATTTTTGAGATATTGATTTATAGCATGAGAATAGCATTAAAGTGACTCCTGTTAATACTAAAGACATAAAAGTAGTGTAATGAGTATTTTTGGATACGACAATGGGACTATGTGGTAACAGGGTAAAATTAATTATAAATTTAATTGAAAAGGAAATATAGTTAGGAAATCATTTAATTTTAATGAGAATATAACATTTTAATATGTCTTTCGATTATATATTTATTATTACAAATGGCAATATAGACCTTTACTTAAAATTAGTTTGTCTTATACATAAAACATATGTCTATCTTTGTCTATTAATTACTCGCTATGTCCTGCAGCTCGGCGTAATAAAACATATATTTTTTCTTTAATCCAATCTTTGTTATATGGAGCATATGTATTTGAGGATTTTTGATAAACAAGACATGACAAATCTGTGAGTTGATCAATAAAATCAAATAGTTGACTAATGTCATAAGTTATAGTTGGAGTATTTGGGTTTCGCCTCTTTAAATGCTCCTCATAGATTTTACATACTCCTGTCATTGAAAAAAATAAAATTATTATAGTTACATTATTTTTGTAGTTAGATTATATTAATATCATTCCATAAATTATTTTTACATTAATATAAGAATTTTAAAAAATGGTCATTTTATACATTCAAATGGACATTATTATTGTAACGTATAATCAATTTTCAATAATAATTTAAATACATGTATAATGCATGTGACAATTACATAATTCTAATTAATGTCCATGATTTCATGTAAACTGTAATAAATCTATTATGAAGATTTATACTTTTAGATTATATGTTCTAGATTATTTGAAATTTAATACTACAAATAAAGCAATTCAAAAAATATTGTTCTGATTGATGTAAACAGATTAATTGAAAAAAAAAGACAAATAATAAAAAATCATTACCTTCCATACATTCGTTAACACTTTCGTAGTCAGAATATGTTCTTGTTTCAGGTCTATTGCCTGGTTGAATAAGCAATATTGTATGAGACTGAAATAGAAAAATAATATTTTAATTTCACATTTAATTTTGTTTTCGTATAAGCAAAAAAAGTTATTAATTATAGTAATTATTATAATGTTGAATGAATACTAATTAATATTCTAAAAATAAATATTTACATTTACTTGATGCAAATGTATGTTACAAATTGTGTAACAAAATTAATATAGCATAAAGTTGTATATAAATAGTCCAGGAAGCTCAAATTTAATAAAAAATCGTCAATTAATAATAGGTAAATAGCTAACATGCTTCGAAAATAATCAAAACAAAAGTATGGTTACCATTACTGCGTTTAGCCGGTGACTATATTACGTTAGAATACACCGGTTCTTGTTTAATTAATAAAGTGAATAATTGTGTGACCAATGTTTGCATGTATTTGATGAAATTTATGTACTGTGGACATCGATATTTTAAATAAGCTAAATCTGTATCACCACCAGTAAACATCAACAAACAACCATTCCTACTCCTGATTCGAGAAAAATCTAGTGTAGGTTAACGGAGTTTGCGTTTTGTCAGAAATGTTATAACTTTTGCGGTAACCAGGAGCTCTAAAAAAACCCGAAGATTAAATTCTTTTTTAAAAAAGAAGTCCGAAAATTCGAATTACAGAATATCTATTGGACGATACCAGCCAATATACTGTAAATAGTATACTCAGAAGACCTCGAATCACAAGGCGCGAGCTTTCTGCTAGAAGTGTATTTCAGAATGACAACATGGCTGACATCAACGTCTGCCATCTAACAGTGAAAACTACAAAATTGAAATTATTTAGTCAAATACATATTTAAACAATTCTCATCAGTGTACATGCTCAAAATGAAGCATACTTTTGTTTTTGGGATATGTACTATATTGCTTATTCATTTTAATAGTGGGTCTTATGAAAAAAATTACATGACCTTTATAACACCAATGTGTTGTCAGAATAAGTATGTATCAGGTACCTCGACTACTTACGTATTTAATGGTTAAAATACCGACATTCTTACCACTAAATATTTATATATAGACGAAAACTTCTGTTGGTATCTTTGATGTTCGTGTTATAGCTGGTATATAGTCGATTCCAACACTCTTTCTCTAAGCCACTGTGTAAAAGAAGTAAAGATTGCGTATGAAGAAACAAAAATAGTTGAAAGTGCAACGACATTTGAAATGTATTGTTACAGGCAACTATATTTAAAAAATATACAATTTAAAAAATTTAATTTTATCAACAAAATTATTTTTATTTACTTTATGAACTACTTAATTAATATTGTAATTATATTTTCGTACAAATTATATTACTAACTACTTGTAGTTCATAAAGCATGGTTTATATCTTACAACCAGAATTTGTATATGCTGTAATTCATTTGAATCTTCGTACGTAATTATCTCTATTGATAGGGGAAGAGTGTCTTGCTTTACTTTTCTGTTTTCCCCATAAAGGTTTCCAGATTTAACACATTTAGACTTTTTTAGGAGGAGCTTTATGAAAAATGAAGTTTATCAGAAATACATACTTACTACTCTTAAGACGCTACTTCTCTGTGAACGTCGTAAAAATTACCAATTTTCATGAATTTTTTCATTAATAACAGTTTGATTAGCTCTTCCAGTTTGTTTGTTAGGTTATTTAATTACTTTTCGGTGATATACAATAATTTTTCATACAGTGTTAATTAATTTTTTAAAGAGGATAACAGTCCACTTAAAAATTTCAGAAGCATATCTAAGTACCTATAAGTAGACAAAATTTACACTAACTGAAATAAAACAAATCCTACTTTGAAACATGTTTTATAATAACAAATAGTTTCGAGAAAATGATATATAAGGATTTAAACGAAATAGTCTGAATATAACATGATGTATTCTATTTCAAAACTTGAGTATAACGTAAATATCAAGGGTGTTAAACTGTCCCCTTTCAAATTAGTGACTTTTGGTGAACGTAGGGCAGAACAAAACCTTTGATTTTTTACACAGTTGGTAATTCAGAACATGTGACACTTAGTCCCATAAGCTTACGATGCTATCTTATACCTCGTCTGCGCCGAGACTCTCTGTATATAGCCAGTTCTATGTAGAGTGTTCGACAGGTAAAAATAGGTATGGAGAGGGTAACTTCTCGCGTGGGGAGTGTTACTAGAGTGACCGCGCGCACCGATTTAGCATCCTTAACTTAGGGAAACTGTTGATCGACAGTCACTAGTTTGAAGAAAGTAGCTCAGCACCTCTGGGGTATAACCTGGACACTAGAAATTAGTTTTCAAAAAATGCCAAAGTTTCGCATCTGTAAATTCTCTGTCCTTTGATAGATGAATGTTCCTTACAATTGGTTGAATTTACATGGCGTAATAAACGTTTGTATTTGAAAATTATCACTGAAATATGAGTGTTTCGAGTAAAGTATTTTATAAAAAAATCAAAGATTTACATCCAGAACTTTCAAGTAGCGTTTTACCAGAGATATTGGATAAATATTGCCAGCATCCACTGGCACAGCCGTTTTTAAAATGGTTCAACGAAAATGTGAATTTCATAAATATTCTGTCAAATGAAGAACTTCAAATGTAATAAATTTATTATTTATTTCGTTTATTACTCCCTTAGTGTATTGGAAATCTTTAATTACACCTTTTTCACTTATCTAATATTTTAGAAAGAACAAGTTACAAGAATCAAACGAATGGTTAGATAATTTAGAATTGGATTGTGCATTGGAAAAAGTAACTAAAAGTTGTCCTGATTTATTAAAAATTGCTTCTTTTGATGATACAGATATAAGTGATCTATTTGCTGAATTTGAAATAGTTAAAAATGCATACATCGTAGACGATGATTATATTTTAGTGTTACAAAGTGGCATTGGTAACTTAAAGTAATGTATTTAATGTCTATGTATATTTTTATTTAAACCTAATTGTCATTATTATGTTTAATTATAATATTTCTATAGAAAATTAGTGGCGGAGGTAGATGAGGAAATAAAAAAAGAATCTGAATGGTTAAACGTAGAACGTATTGCAACAGACAAAGCATATGAAGATTGTGTTGCAATATTGGGCGATTTTGATGAGAATAATCATGAATTTTTTCATGAAGTTGAATGCCTTTTAAATTTATATGCAGATGCAGCTGAAAATGTATGTTACTATTATTAATTTTTCTTTTTGGTTTATCATAATGTAATGTATTTTATTTACAGAAAGGAATACCATCGGTATGGACCCAAATGCCTTTGGAACTTTTTTGTAATAATGTAAAACTATATAATAATTATTTAGGTGTTTATGTAAAGAAACAGTTTGACAATGTTTCTGAGCAAGAACAGGAAAAAGATTCAAATTATGCTTCTTTGATTAGTAATAGTCAAGAGGTACAAATTGACAATGAAAAATTACAGGAATTAACATTATGCAAAGCAAAGTAATTTTTTTTATAATAATTATTAAATTAAATATTTATTATATATATTGCTCTGCATATAAATTATATTTTATTTTATAGTTTAATTAATGTAAAAATAGAAGAAATTTTAGCTAAAATACAAGCAGAATCTAACATTGCCATGTTAGAGTATGTACAAAGTATGTATAATAATGGAAATTTAAAAATACCTAAACTTAATGAATTGAGGTAATTTAATTACTATTTAATTTATAATTATCATTTAAATACTACAAAATGTTTTAATATATTGAATATGCATAAATAATATCTTTTTATCTTTTAATGTTTTTACATTGAAATTAGGACAGAAATTTTAATGTTATCTACAAAGAGAGATTTCTTAGAAGAAAGTGTATCTTTACAAGAAGGTCAATTGTCAGAAATTATACAACAGTTTGCAGAATTACAAATAACTAAAATCTTGGAACAAGATGCTTGTTTAAAGCTTGAACATAGAAATGATAAATTAAAAAAGATAAAAAATTTGCAGTTCCTTACACAGAAATGCGGACATACAGATATTAATTTGCTATATATATTAATGCAAATACAGCTTCACAGTCTTACAGATGTCCTGGAATTTGTGACTGATACTAACCACTATTTAACTACAGAGTATTTGTTGAATTATGCAAGATGTGTTAGTAATTACACCTAAAAGCTAGTATTTTTTAAAAGTGACTTGTTAT